AGAGAGAGAGGGGGAGGGAGGGAGGGGGGAGAGGGAGAGAGAGACAATAACTATTCTCCACCATACGGCGGCTCTATTTGGCCTAGCAATATTGCTACAGTCTAAAACCCGCCGTTCGAATCCTTGGACCTGCCGTCGGAGTCGTCGCAGAAACACTGACAATGTTGGCTCTGAGCTAAACTCAGCCGGTAATCGAGAGGAAATTAACGGGGTCAGAAGGGGACAGATGAGACCCGAATCATGTTCCTTGAGCAGAATGCTACTAAATGAGACGTTTTTGAACTCTACATTTTTTTAGATTTAGCTATTTTGAGTGACCCTGCTCCCTAGAAAGAGCGGCCAAAAAGTACGGAAATCCGAAGTGTACGTAAAATTAAATTGAAGGCAAAATACAGAAACAATATTTCACGGTAAAATTTAAGCAAGCTCAGCAATATTAAAACGATAATCTGAGTTGGCGAGCATATGCTTTAACGAACAGTCCAAGGGCATGCTGTTCGAAGCTGTTCTCGTATGTTGCAATTTTCACATTCAAAACAATTATTTTACGAAGTGCTAAGTTTTCACAATGGTCCAGTTTAGTATGCAATAAAAGGATGATGGTAATAAATAATAATAATAATATTAATAGAAATAATAATATTATTTTTAATAATAATAAGTAATTAAGAACCTTTAAATTATTTTATTTCAAATTTATTGGATTCAATAAATAATATTTCCTCCGCCCCATTCTAATTGAATCCAAGTTACCCATATGCCTCCCGCATGATCGAAACTTCTTGTGTCCTCGACACATCTGTCCAGAGTAAAAAAACGTTTTATTTCCGCAGAACATCGTGTTTATAGCAGAAGAGATGAATGTATTATCTCTCGGGGAGAACAAAAACTGTTCACGAACAAAGTAAATTCTCGTTCGCATGGAGAGGCTTCCGGCTTCACGCTGAATGGGCAGCCCGTTGCACTATTCGCTTAGTAGGTCAAGCTCTGAAGTTGACCCCCAACCAAAAGATTATTAATGCTAATCGTTAAATACGATTTTAATTATATTCTTTCCTCCAAAATACACGAGATGCATTGAGAATTTATTGCGGGTTAACCATCCGCTGTCGGGAGAAGAGAAGTTTAGTGACCCCCTTTACGAGAACAAGCCGACGGTATTGGGGCCCTGGAGAGAGAGAAAAGGAATGCCAAGGTAAGACGCGAGTCACAGTGTCAGACGGTGTAGCGGTACCTCGGCTGTTGCTCCAATACATGACAAAGGTGTGAGAAATGACCCTTCCTATTGTGAATTGTGCACACAAAATATGAGATTCGTATTCATTGGAATATTAACGGCCGTTTTAAATGGTATGTATACATTTAAACTCTCTCTCTCTCTTCTTCTTGACGAAATTGCATTCGTAAAAGTTCTTCAACAATACTATAACTGAAAGTTTTGGAAAATAATTTCGCGAGGGTTGCTGGTGGATTCAAATGCGTGAATATTATGATAAAAAAACGAAACACTCGAGTTGTCTCTGCAGAAATAGTAGATGAAAAGATTTTTCATTAAATTATTATCCGAAACAGCTGTTCGGTCTGTGCCCGACAAAATGTCAGTACCGAAATATTAATTTTTAAGTTGATGGTCGAAAACACTTCAAAAGAAAATGCCCCCCAGAAGAGTGCAAATAATGAAAATTTCTTTAAATTTATATAATCGTGCCATTTGATTGTGTATTGTGAATATAATATACCTGATCGCGCCGTCCGTCAAACGTGACGAAGGTAAATTTCACTTCCACCAACTTTCTTATATTTAAATGTTTCGTCGACTTGTTTGTCGAATTTGTTTTCTGTAGCAAAATTATTTAAAATGAGTTTACTCATTGTTCTTTATCACAATGAAAATGTTTTGTAAATAAAGTGATAATTACTTCATTTTATTTCAAATAGGGGGGCAGCATTAAATCTTTGTAAAATGTGCTGCATGTCAAAAATTTGGTTTACTAATGTCAATCAGTATGTGTGTACATTTACATTAACTAAGTTCACACCGAGAATAGCAGCTGATAGCTTAAGTGACCCATACCCCTCATGCAGTTTTATAGTTAATATTTTACTAAATTAATACCTACTTCATATTAAGGACTGACACAGCAATTAATTTTCCAGTGACAGCTTATTATTTTAATTTTTATTACAAGAAATAGAATGAAAAAGTTAAAAAGAAGAAATGAAATGTGTTTTCTTAAAGGTATAAATTTGAATTGAATTGTCAAAACAATATTGTCCTTGGTTGTCATTCTCATTACAATAATTATGAATAATTATTTGTAAGTATACTGAAAAATTATTTATTTTTACCCTGAACAGCCATACCTAATATCTAGCCAAAATCTGTTTGTTATTCTAACTAAAAGAAAACTACCCAGGGTAATTAATAAGTTAAGAATATATGGTAATAAAAATAAAAAATACATTATAAACATACTTGACAAAAACTTTTGCAAATATAATATGAAAGTGACTTTCCCCTGTTACACCATACAACATTTTAAATATAGAAAATGAATAAAAAAAAAAAGTAGTGGTGAAAACTCCATATTTTTGAAGTTTGGGCTGCCCAAGATTTCTTCACCTTTGATCATCACAATATAAATATGTTGCACAAAATTCAAGTTGTTGTTTATAAAACTTTTTCTGACATACAAAATTAATCAGTTTTTCTTCCTTTCAGAGGAAGTATCGTTATAATTTAAGAATATTTTTGTTGTGTATGTTTTTCAGATGTCTTTGTTGTAAATTATTGATATAGTTGTCTCTTATGCAATGAGTAATTTTCATTTTTCTTGATTCATTCTTTTTGTTGTGTTTAAATTTTGTTGTACTTAAATAATACAAGTTGTGACTATCATCATCATCATCATCATCATCATCATCATCATCATCATCATCATCAACAACATGACTAGGAATTAGGCTTTACAGCCTATTTCTATTGGTTTATTACAGTATTCTTGGTAGATTATTAGTTTTTCAAGTGTTCCTGCCATTGCCCTCTTTAGTGGTCTGCCTCTATCTGTTTCCTCTTGGTTTGTACTTCCAGATTAATTTTGGAAATCTGTTGTTTTTCATTCTCTGTAAATGATCTTTCCTTCTCGTGTCCTATCTCTTTTACTAAACATTTTGTTTTCCATTTTTTTCTGATGTGTTGACTACAATTTGTAGTGACTACAAATTTCATAAATTTACTATTTCAGTTCTGCCCTTATCAAAATGTGAGGAAAACGATGTCTACAGGGGGAAGCATCTGGGAAATATAAATTCCTATCATCATCAGGTGACAGGAGATGTGTACGCCGTGGATGAATACACATTGCTTTTTATAAATTTCAACTACGATGGAAACGGTGCAGACACCTTCTTTTGGGCTGGAGCTTCCAACAGGCCTGGACCCCAAGGCTTCATAGTTGCTGATGAATATGGAAAGTAAGTTATCACTGAATATCTTTAAAACATATTCTACAATATAATAACATTTTGTGGTCCAACATGAAAACATATTTCAGCATTAATAATCATGGGTTATCTAATAATTGAAGTTAAATGTGTTATGTGGTGAAATTCTTTACTGATATGTTTCAATATTAATATATTTGTTGCTTCAAAGTTCAGAAGAAGAAGCACCTTTATCATTCTTTTTTTGCATTTCAGAACGAATGTTTTGGCAAGATATTTCAACAAAGACTTTACACTTACACTACCTGACAAGAAAAAAATAACTGAAATAAAATGGTTTGCAGTATATGATTTGTCTAGCCAAAATACATTTGGTGATATATACATTCCGGAAGATTTTGAGCCCCCTGCTACACAAAGGATTTCTCAGTTTTCTGCTGTAGCACATAACGTTTCGTCAGAATCTATTGAAATTATTGATGCAAAAACTCTTAAAATACCAGATTTCAGATATGATGGTTTGGGGAAAGGTATGTAAAA